GGTTTCGCCCGCCCACACAACGGGCCTCATCAGGAGGGTGACTCCAAAGAGCCTCCGTGCTCGAAAAGGAGTGCCTAAGCCTTGCACTCCATGCTATATAGTCTTCGGTCCTCAGCAAGTACCATCATACGTAACGAGGTACTTATGTCAGTGATCCCTAAGTAAAAGGGCATCTTGAACATCAACGGTCAAGACTCGTAACTTTGTCTCGTTGTTTACCCCCTGTAGATCACTAGCTCGGTTGCCCGTTTCCATGTATCAGTCTAGGTGCCCTGTTTCAACTTCAAAAATTCAAAATCACGATCTCAAAATATATCGGACTGCCAGAGCCCGTTCCCCCGAGACGCGATCACCTACCCACTAGTTCCCTTTTCCCGTACCATCAACTTCTCGGGCATCCTACTTTACACGACAGACAACCCGACACAACCTGTCTTAGCACTGCCTCTCGTCCAGGTACATCCTCCTAATAAAGTAAAGTAAAATAAAATAAAATAAAATAAAAAGTCAAACCCCATATGGCTCTCGGGTTTGTTGCTGGTACTCCTTAGGTCTATTTTCCTCACCATGGTTCTTCTCCGCTAGTTCTCGGTCCCTCAAAATGGCAAATGCCGAAAAACTCCGAAAACCCGCAGCCAAAAATGGTCCGGAAGGTGAATTGAATCGCGAAAATACAAAATACAAAAAACAAAATCCGTCGGCCTACATGCGCCTGACCGAATCTTCGAGTCGAAGTTTACGCCTCTTGTTCCAGTCCGTCGTGTAGTTAAAGGCAGCCAGCATGCCGCGCAGTGCCTTACTAGGCACAACCTTGGCCAAATTGGTTAGAGCCCCGAGAGAGACCTCCGGGGGTTACTCTGGAGGTTTGCTTCGCAGATGGCGAATCCGATCGCCCCCAGAACCAGCTCCTTGCTCGTCGTCTGGTCCCACAGTCTCTTGATCGTGGTCGTAGTCGAGTAAGAGTTATAGTCAGTCTTGCATCGTTTGGAATCGCAGCTTTCCTTCCTTATATAATGATTCGGTGTTCTTTGTGTTCCGTACAAAAGTGGATTCGCAGAGGTGATTGGCAGATCATCATGCTGGCCCCCACAAACTCCCAGGTTACCCCGCATTCATCTTTTCGGATGACCTCCAGATTCTTGTCGTAGATGGACTCGAAAGCTTCAAACAGGTTCTCCGGATATTCCGTGTTACCGACCTCGTGAGCAATCCCGACGATGATGGTAATGTCATCCATAATCCGCCAACCCCCGATCAATTTTCTATCACTCCCAAGTCCCCTGATGAACCACGTTTTCGCCATCGCACAGGTGATGGATGCCAGGATGGGGCTGGTTGATTTTCCCATTGGAATCCCAAAGGCCTGTCTGACTATTTTACCCCCGCTTTCTCACCATCGAATGTCTGAGGTCATACTTCATGCCCTCCAGGATCGACCTCAGAGACATGCCTACGTACCCCTTTATCTTCCTCCTGTTGTCACTGATAACGCATATCTTTCCTCTCATGGATACCCGAAACTGTCGACAACCTTTGTCTTCATACATTCTTAGTAGATAAAACACCGACTGGATCACCGCAGCGTGTGGTATGCGGGAGAACATCTCTTTTATGTCGTAGCACCTTCCCACCGCTTGTTGGTAGCCCGCTGCCCTCGGTTGTTCTAATGTTCCCTCAAGTCTCTCAGCCAGGTCTGATACTGAGTTCAGATAGAAAGTACTTTTGCCGACAGCCGTTTGAGAAGCTGGTGCAAGGCTCTAGCTATCCTCCTCTGTGCCAGAGCCGTTGGGTCTGCCGGTGTTGGGGCTATCGGCCTCCAGCACGTGAGATCCTTGTGCTTGGGGATCACATATGCTGTCCCCAGGCGACCTTCAGGTCTCCAAAGTCCCACCTTGTCTAGTCCGGCCTTCAAGAAATCCTCCTTGCTCTCCTTGATAATGTCCTTTTCCGAAGACAGTCCCGGTCCCTTCGTAGTTCGAATTCCAGGCGAGAGTTTTGTCGAACCCGTGTTTGTACAACACCGGTCATAGGACCGTTGTATCGCCCTGGTTACGATCTATAGGTGTTAGTACCAGATTGGCAAAACTCGCCCCTGATGACTTGACCTCCTCATCGGTCCAAGCGGAGTTCCTGGACTTCGGCTCTGTCCACACCTCGTCAACTTTTAGGAGCGGCACTTGTGCTATCTTGAGATGTTTCGCTGCGTCTTGAATCGCCTTACAAATAGTAGCCGAATTTTGTGCCTTGCTCGAGCGTTATTGGGGCACATCATCTCCGAAAATCTCGTGAGCACGTGGCCTTCACATTTCTGGAGATCGAGACCCCTACACGGGCATGGTTGCTCATCCTCACAGACGAAGCGTTTATGGTTATGCAACAACTCCGCCACATTGCGATTACGCGCCCACACTATCTGGATTCTTGAACAGTAAGGTTACATTCACCCTCGTCCGTATACTCACTTCAGTCTTCTTCGTGATCACCTTATCCAATTTTGTACGTAGCCTATGCTTCGTTTGCTTCTCCGTGAATAGGCCGGCCGTCTTATACAGTCCGATGAGTGTCCTAACCGCCAGAGTTGCCAGTAGGGAGTCCGACTTAGGTTTCCTCAACAGGGCTGTCAACATGGCCCTATTCCGCTCCAAAGTCGTTTTTGACTTCACGATCTGTCTGACTATTACTTCACCTCCCCGCTGGATCTCCTCCTTCGCCTCTCGTAATTTAACTGTCCGCCCGCCAACTCGAGTATTGATTCCCCGAACTTACGTTTGCGTTTCCTCCATCCATCTAACCATATTGTGCCGCCCGAACTCATCGCCTTCCTATCCCGTTTTCCCAAGTTTGTCGCCAGCCAGTTTAGCATCGATGCAAAATCGATTCCCCGCTCGCAAATGGTAATCATCCTGTCCATCTGTACCTGCCTCGATCTACCCTTCCGTTCTCTCCTCCCTTGATCTACCATCCCGTATCATGAGCTAACGCCTTGACATGCGCAAATGTCACCCTTTTTGCAGGGACCTCCCTCACCACCATCTCACGCTTCTCTCGTGGCAAGGTGCCTAGGAATATCCCCCATCTTTCTATTTCCCCTATAAACCCTTCTTCCACTAGAGGGTTCGAGGCCTTCTCATATCTCCTCGCAAATGCCACCAGGCTCTCATTCTCTTCCTTTTTCATTTCTTTTAAATCTTCGACCAAGTAGGAGATCTCATCACAAGCGAACGCTCGAGTCACTTTCTCGCTGAACGTCAACCATCATCCATCGTCGGGTTCTCGGTCTATCTTAGGTGCAGTATGATGCAGGAAGTTTGCAATCATCTCTTGGTCGGTCCACTCCCCTCTCAACCCAATGACCTCCCAGTCATCCAGGAACTCGGAAACATTTTGGCCCGTGAAGATCGTCTGAGCCCCGGCAAAGGAAGGTGGTTGGTACACAGGGGGTCCAAAGAAAGGGGCCATATAGGAGCTCGACGGGTGCGCCATCGAATAGGGACTCCTTCTGTAGGGCTCCCCAGGGGTCTCTCTCCAGGTGTCCCTAACACCTAAGTTTGTAAACCTCGCCATTCTGGGCCTTGTCAAAACCTCCTTTCTCCAACTCTCTCTCTTAGCGCTTCGCCCTTCCAGTTCCTTGGCTCGGATATCTGATTCCCTTAAGGACTTTCTTAGTTTCTCAGCATCACTAATGGACTTTATACCCATCTTCCTTTCAGGACTATTCGTCCTCGACTCCTGTGTCCTTACGTCACCTCCAACTGAAGTCAAGTAAGCCCCTTCGGTATCCATGTCCTCTGACTAATCTTCAGATACTCGGCCTAAGGCGGCTAAGATTCTTTCGATTGAACCTTCCAGAATTCTCTGCAGTGCCTCAAAGTCAGCGTCCTCCCCCTCAGCCCTAACAACCAAAGTGGTGGTCAACACAACCTTCGAGTGACGCGAGTTAGCTTCCAAGGTTCTCAGCGAGACTTCGTCAACCATGTAATCAGAAAGCTCCCTGAATTCTCCAGCGTCTTCTCTTAGTTTCGTTTTTGCCTCAGCTATGGTCTCCCTCCCCGTCCGAAAAAACGTCTCCCCCTCAAATGGTCGTGTGTGGATCTCAATTTTCGCCAACCGAAGCTCATCTGCCGCTTTCCAGATCGCACATATTTTTGCTTCCTTAACAACCTTTCTAGCGGATTCAGCTTCCTCCTCCTTACATAACCTTTCTTTGTGTATCACCTCTACTCTAACCCGCACCAAGGAACCTTCTATCTTTGCTGTGGCAATCAATTGATACTTCTCGGCCTCTCCTCGACTACTAGCCATCCCTTCTTTCAGTAACTTCATTACAGATTCCCTCATTCTCTTCGCCAAAAATTCATTCTTCCAGTTTATTATTTTCTTTTTCTCCTCTTCGTAAATCGCGACCAACTCTTCAACTCTTTCTTCAAGCGCAAGGATCCCTTGTTCGTCTGTGGAATGCCACCAATCCTTGTATCCTTCGACTAGCTCCACCACCTTATCGTTTATCAGGTCCAGAAACAACTCGATGAGCGAATTGATATTCTCATCCCTTCCCCTTACACGCGGGATCGTGCCTCTTTGATGGTCTTGTCTTTCTCCACTTCGTACTTCAACCATCCCAACGACCACACCATCATATCATAGGTTATCTGTCTTTCGGCTACTACCAAAGCAAGCAACCTAGGTCGTTCTCGTTCGATTGTCTCCTCGGCTAGGAGTCGACAACCTCGACCATCCAGCGACCGCGTCGTCCTAATTCGAATGATTGATGTCAATCTGCCTGCGAAGGATACTCTATTGATCTCTACCTCGTCAGTCGTCGGTCCCTACATCCCTCTCTGTCTCAGTTGAGTTTTTACTCTTAAACTCGTTTCTCTTAATTCTTTGTACAAATTCTATCACTGCTTCCCATCCATTCCTTCCTTGCACAGTCAAGCGAGGTTAGGGCTTGGGTATCCCTACGAAAGGCACAACATCCGTGCTCCAGACGTGGATTTCACCTTCTATCTCCAATATCCTTTTCTCCTCTAGGACAATCCCGACGGCTCGTTCCCAACAACTATTGTACCATCGTTCCCTGTACCTAACCTTTGGCACGTAGATCCGTGTATCGTATTCGTCAAGGTCAATGAAGTAACAGGTTAATACGTAAAGACTATTATGCTCCCAATCAACCTCCTTCAAAGCTTCATACCTAGCGATCATGTATGGGAACACTTCTTTCTGAGATAACGAGTTCAAGGAGCCCAAGAGTCGCTTTGTCTCTTCCCTGCTTAACCTACCCAGTCCACTTCCTCATGGAAACCAGGGTCGAAATGGAAGGATCCCACTCATCTGGATCTTTGTTCTTTTCGTCGCTTTAGTTTTTTACGGCTCTCAAAATGACCCTTAACCCTCCGTTCTCATCCCGAATCTCATGCTCCCCCTCTATTCCGAACAGACCAGTATCGAGATAGAGTTCACCTCCTTGTTCGTTCACACACACATCGCCTCTCCTTATTCCGATCACCTCGGTTCTCGGACGCCTTATCCTTCTACAAATCGAAGTCCCTAACGTACACAGATCCTCCCAAGTCCACGTCCTCAGGAGTCGGCGCAGGTCGTCTGACGCCCTCCTAGCAAGTTCCCATCTCAGCCCTTCCCGGATTATGTTACCTCCGTCGGGCCTATAATCATCTCCTCTGGCCATTTATAGCCCTGTGACGTAGGACGAATCCAATCACTATCTCTTGCTTTTCCTCTCTCAATACCTCGTAGGGGACCGGGGGCTTCGGTAGTCGATCAAATATAATTATTCCGGTGCTCCAAGCGACCTCTTTCCCTAACAAGAGCAACCTATTTCTTTCATCCTCTACTATTTCCCTTGCTCTCTCCCAACAACGTCCATAGACGAGATCAACCTCCCTTTCTACAGGCAAGTAGATCCTTATGTCTCGCACTTTCGTCCCCACGAACCGATCAGTCATAACATAGAGGCGGATTTGTTCCCAACCACTATCTACCAACTCTTATGTCTCTACTTCGTACAAAATTCCTTCCCTTCTCCTGAAGGAGCTCAGGGACGAACAAACGGCTTCTAACTTTTCTTTCGGCGACCTATTTCCCGAGAGAAACCTTTCCCTCCTGGTCTCTAACTTGTCCTCTAAAATTACTCTTCCTTTTTTCATCCTCTATCCCCCCCAGCATCTCGCCCTAAGCACCATATTTATCAACGGTCCCCAGTCACTTCCGTCGAGGTAGCTTCCGGGAATAGGTGGGCTAGGGGTTGTGTTGTACTCTACACGCAAGGTAACTCTCTTCCTCTTCTTTCCAGTTCCTTCTTATAGGCGTATGTGATCGTCTCTGCCCAATTTCGCCATCCCCACAAATCGTCGGTCAGTTCCCGTCCTTTTTTATTATAAAACCCTATGTCATACTCATCAGTCTCGACAAACCTGGCTACCAATACGTACACCTTTTCCTTAAGCTCGATATTCGCTATCACTGTATAGTCTTCAATCACGTAAGGAAAGGGTCCGCTCAAGGTTAAAGGTGTCCAAAAATTCAGTAAATCCTCAATGGCTGGGTCACTGGACGATGACAATCCCCAATTTATCCCCCTTTCCCAAGAGAGTCTCTTCGTCAAGATCTTAGTCATCTCTAGCCCTTGAACCCATCCGGATTCCTATCCTTGGCCACTGCTCTTTGGCACTCTCTCAATCTCAATCACACTCCTGAAGTACCCTTTCTTTGGGAAAATCCCGCACATCCTCCCATTCCTCAAGCTCATCCCGTACCTCTTCCCACTCTTCTTGAACCCAGTCTTCGTCTCCGAATTCCTCTTCCTCGTCCTCTGGCTCTAAGATGAGATAATAGCAGTACAACTCCGATGGATCGATGAGCGGCCTCTCTCTATCAACGTCGTCGAAGCCCCCACTCGTAAACAACTCGGTAAGACCTGTTACGTGCAAGGGCGGTTCCTTAATGGCCTTGTCAAAGGCGTTGCAGAACTAGATCGGTTGGTCCTCCCTAGGGGCCTCAAACAAGCTCCTAGGCGAAGCTGCTCTAATTAGTTCTACTAATTCAAGAGCCTCGTTCTCAAATATCAGCCCCACCTTCCACAAGGCGTAATAAGCGTGGTGCTCGTCGGTGCTCCTTAGGAACCCCTGAATTTGGAGAAACGCCCAATGGACCTGAATCAAACAAGCTATCCCGCCGAAAATTCCTCCAAGACGAAAGTCGGGATAGGGAACCGTAATGCCCTTTCAGATAGTGGTAGAAAATCTTCCTCAGCGAGCTTGAGGGTTATGATTACCAACCTAAAGACTTGGCCCCAGCGAAGTTCCTCCCTCCGGAGCTTATCAACTTCCCCTTGCAATATGGTTCGACCAGTCACCTCGTCCTCCCAAGTATGGATGTCAAGACTTGGCACCGTACCCAGTTCTGGGTCCGTATGGCTTTGTTCCACAACTCTAAGAACTATACCGACCAACATCGACGTCTGATAGTACATAAAACCCTTTACTACCGACGTAACCGACCCTGCTATCTTTCTTCCTCTCCTATCACGGTCAAACCCCACCGAGGCTATGACCAACAGCCAGACCCCAGGTCTTATTAGGATGGATCTCCAGACCCTATCTACTTTCCCACTGTTAGGTCGCCTCACCTCCCTCCCTGGTAAAGTGAATTCTACCCAGTCCTCACCGATGAACTCAGGCTCCCTGTATGCCAGTTGGTGGAACTCAACCAGATATTCCTCCCCGTACCGAGGCATTTAGTCCTCTACGAGTTCAACGTCCAGTATCCTAGCCCTATCTACCTCTCTTGTGGTCGCCGCTCAACGTAACTCTGCTCTAATTAGGAAGACAACACGGTGGAACTCCCTACCCGAGGGGAAGCCCCTATCCAGGCAGTAAGTAAGAAGCCAAGCTAGCTCGGCGGTAGACGGTCTAAACTAGACGGCCTTCCGGACCGCAGCTACAAGTCTCTGATGGTCGTCGGGGTTCCCAAAGACAAGCTCAGTGAGGAACTTGGGCACTATCGTTGATCTCACTGAGGTGGATCTAGCGAGTTCCCAGTCATAAGCGTATCTGGGCCTATAATAGGCTATGGTGTTCGTTCCTCCTGTGAACTCACCGAACAGTCACGACCCGTACCTACGCCCGAGGGACGTGAGACAGGGAAGAGCTCGACAATGCCTAGCCGTATCCAAGACTAAAAACTTCCACGCCTCCTCTGATAGGTAGGTCCTAATGTCGACCTCCGAGTCAAGCGGCTCACTCTCTCTGTCCCTCCTTAAGCAAGGTCTCGGTCGACATACGATCCTCACCCATAAGAAAATCCCCTCCCTCACTATCAACCCTTGCTCTCTGGTCGGTCTGTATTTGCTCCTTCCCTCCAATGGCAGATTGACGGCATCAAACGCTCCGCTCTCTCCTTTAAGACGGATCTGAGATTCGGACCCGATAAATACCATTCCTAGTCAAGAGAAACGGTCTCTCCTCAGTATCCTTTCTCGTGCCCACTCTCGAACTGATGAGCTCACAAACCCCCACGATAGGCCCCCGTCAATCGCTCCTATATCCCTTCAGGATGTCAACAGGCTTAGGAAAGAACCACCCTCTGGCGTATCTCTCCCTACCCTCATGTCGAGAAGGAGGATTGATCAACGTACCATCATCGCTGGCCTACCACCTCCGCCGCGACCTGGACACGAGTCGGCCAACTCATGTGCCCTAGGGTGGACCGAGGTCACACACGAACGAAGGGGCGGTGTCTCACTCGTGCAACCTTGCTCCTATCCATGCCTCTACTCGGCCCACCTCAGACATGGTCTCGCCCCGACACGTGTTGTGGTTCAATTCCCCCAGCTATCTATCACAATCAACTAACCTATCTAGTTCCCACCCAGCTCCTTGCAAATCCGGGGCGCTTCTCCCCTCCCCTTCAATCCCTCCAATTTTTCCCCTGCTCACAATTTTCTCTCTTGGAATTGGATCAAGTAGGACTGACCAAACGGTACGGCAAGATCAGAACAGACTTCTCTCAATCACAAGGCATGCAGGGAGAAAGCATACAAATCATGAGAATGCAAAAATCGACGTCTCATCGGGAACGTCGTAACAGGCCGACCGTCCGTCGTCCGCTCGCCCAAGTCAGCGTTGCACCTGCGCACACCAAGCGATATCCGGCGCGAGTGTCAAAGTAAATAAACCCTCGCCTCTAAATCCACCGTGCCTCTGCGGTTACAGGCGGACCGAAGTCCCGAGAGGCAACCTTCCCCGGCAACGGCGCCATTGTCAACCGATAGTTATGGTCTGTCGCCATGTTGATCGAACCCTGTGTGTCTCCCCACGTCTGTCACCCATGGGAGGGATCGATCGGGGCTTCTATAACCTGCAAGGAAAAGGTTAGCCCAAAATCATACAACAAGGACTGACATAGACTGAGGGACGAACAACAAGATGCTCAAAGTCCACTATCTAGAAGGAGCAAAAAGCGTATGATGGGGTCCACCGCACTATTCCCAAGCCCAGAGATAAGTCCCGCGTCCAGATCAGAGAAATCGGTCTGAGTCCCGACCGACCTCACAGACAATCTAGGGTGAATCCTCCGTCCGATGGGGTGTCGCCAATAACGAGCACGATGGTCCCACGGAACAATACTCGAACTCTCTGTATCTGAGGCAGATTCGAGGGCCCACCATGGCCACTACTCACGATCCAGTTCCACCATGAGTCGACCTTGTCACCCGTTCTCACCCGGTCTGTGTCCCGGACAAAATTATCTCTCTCATTGACGCCTGCGCGGTCCGATGTCTCTGCCAGTCTGTTCCCGGTCGGTCCCGACTTGATCCGAAAGTCCTGGCCTGACCAGAAAGTCTCGACCTGGCCCCCCTGTAGCCCCTATGCCCCGGGCAGCTCGCTGGTCATGAAAATCCCGACTCAATTGTAGGGTCCCACCGTGTGCAAATGTCACACCGTGGCCCTAATATCCTGAATCACGTCTCGTGGTCATGCTCAAAGTCCTGGCCTAGGTCCGAGGTCCCGGTCTGAACCCGAAGTTCCGATCTGGTCTGAGGTCCCGATCTTGCCCAAAGCTCTGGTCCCCGAAAGTCCCAGTCTGGGTCCACCACGCCGTTCCGTGCCCCAAATCTCGGTTTGGGCACAAATCTCGTTTGCGCCCGAAAAGCCCATCCGTCAGGTGTCCCGCTTGAGCCCCAAAGTCCCAGACCTCAGGTC